TCTGGTGCAAATTACTGACCTCTGTCATCATTTTAAGTGGGGGAACTTGCACAATCGGTGGCTGACTAAATACTTTTTTGCCCCACTGTATATATTACTCAATTACTTTTGTAGTATGAATGGCCACGGGGAGGACTTTAACAGCAGGAAAAGCTCAGAAATGTATGCCCCCCTTCACATTTTCCAAACCTGCCAAAAAGGCTGAACTGGAGCCTTTGGCGGGCCGATTCTGGACCGTGGGCCTTATGTTTGACACCCCTGATCAAGAAGGAAAACAACAAAGACAATGAAGGCCGAGGGGTCCAGAGATGTGCAACAGGATTTGTAATGTTACCCTGCCGAGGTATTTCCAGTCCAAGAGATCGCTCAGACGCTCAGTGCGGTTCCTCTGGATGATCCGTTGGCGGCGGCTCTGCTTGCAAAACTGGAACAGGAAGGAAGTGAGCTGGTTGCATGACTCGTCCACTCCCCGACACCTGCGGTCCAGGATGTAGATACCTGCAAAGCGAAAAAGCAGCAGTTTTTCCTGATTATCTTAAAAAGAGGACTTCTTTTGAAAAACAGTAGAATTTAGAAGAGAAGGCATGAAGATGCACCATATGCCGTTGGGTCTGCTATGTGTTCCTCCATGAAACAGCCAAAACCTGACAGGTTAGTGGAGATTGATGGAATTCCCATGACAGTGCACTCAGCTGATAAACAGGGAAACAATAATTAGTACTTTTATATTAATACACACATAGATGCATCTTGTCAGCATGAATGAATCATACCAGGTGTGTAGCCCCAGGGCTCATAGTAAGAGGGAAAGACGCCAAGGTGGCAACCTCTTACAAACTCCTCGTAGTCCATTGGAAGAAGAGGAGAGGTGGATGAAAGGAACTCGGGATGGAAGATAATCTAACAGATGAAGAAGAAATTCAGTGTTACAGACAGATAGGGCACACTGCCAGAACCAGCAGCATGAGGGGTAATTCAGATTGAGGAAAAAATAAAATTACAGAATCATGCTCACAACACTTTTTTCTTTCAGGTGCGACTATGATACCTCACAAACTAAAAAAAATAAATCTAAATAAATTAACAACTTAAATCCCAGAAAGGCGACAGGGAATCTTCCAGCGGTCACCTCCTGTCACGTGACCTACCTTGACCCGGTCAGCAGAGCTGTTGAAAAGGCCGATGCGGCGAACACAGTTGAGGATGGGGTCGCTGCTGTCCTCCAGCATGTTGTGAGTGCAGATCGGAGGCTGGCACTGTCTCTGAGTGGCAAAGATGGCGCGCTTCATGATAGTGAAATCCTCTTTGTCCAGCATCTTCGACACATCTGGCAGCTGCCCACTGAAGAAAAAGCTCGAGTTAATGTTAAAACGAAACTCACAGCACAAAAAAACAAAAAATCAAATAATTAGCAGGTTTGAATTTAATAAAACCAATAAGATTTCAACATTTTTACAAATTCAGGTATATCCAAGTTTAATGGATACCTTTATTGGGGACTATTTATTAGGAGATATTTGTTGTAATAAGCTGGGTGTCTAATACTTACATCTTACAGTTTTTAAGAGGCAGGATTAAAAAGGGGTCGACTTACACCAGAAGTGACTCATAAAGTTTCTTTCCAAAGCGCTCCTTCACAGTCTGAGCAGTATCCCTGCCAGGGACAAAAAATAAAAAAAAATAAAATAAAAATTCAAATCCATTACTCCTTTAAGTTCAAAATGAATAACTACATCTGTAAAGAACCTCACCAGAGCTGCTTCCTGACTGCTTGGCCCTTCAAGGTCTCCACATTGAAGTTGTTTGTCCGAGCTGGCATGATGAAGAATGCGATCACTGTCACGTCACTGTGGTTGACCTTTGATGGACCATACAGACACTGGAGTTAGATTTTGTTTTATCTTTTTAAAAAAAACAAAAAAAAAAACACCTAGGATTGACCTTTCTCCTTCCACATCTGTGAACACATGTGCACATCTGTGAACACAGCCACACATACGTACTCTCAGTAGATAATTGAGTCTGGCTAAAGCCTCCAAGAAGATGTCGGCTCCTTTGTTGGAGAATTCGTACCTCCCAGCGATGAAGAGGAACAAACACTTGTCCAGGTTGAAGTCGAGGTGTCTGATGGTCAGATGGTCACCAACATACGATTTAAAAAAAAAAAAAATACACAACTTGATTTGTCACTTCCCCTTTCTGGCTAAATTCATTAACTTTTAAGCACTTTACACACGCTGTGACGTGCGGACTAACCCATAGAAGTGCCCCCTGACAAACTCCTGAATCCGACTCTTGCTCTGAGCGTGGAGGTTTTGAAACTCGTGCATAGCTGAGAACTTCTTCACGTTGAGCCCGTTGGGAGTCACGATATCTGTGGAAGCACGTGAGGCAAAGCATAAGCATGCAGTAGAGAAAGGGTGATGATTTGATAGTCAGGTAGATTAAAAATCTCCAAAGCATAATTAATACTCGATATGTATAGTTCAGGCTGAAGTAGTTTTAAAAGAGTGAGTAATTTAAAGTGGAAAAAAATATTACTATGTAACATTTTATAGTGGTTTTTGGGAAGCTGTTACTTTTTTGTTCTTAAGATAAAATGAGTCATGATTTTTAAGGATTTTCTAAGAGTTAATTTAAAATAATACTACACTGAAAGCTTTATATTGTATATATTATATTTTACATATTCAGACTTCTATATTCAGAGTATTGCAGGGGGAGCTAGAGGCATGCTGCCGTCTTACACACACCAGTTCACTGCTACACACCTGGTTTCCTCTTGAGCAGGTGTTCTGCCTCAATGGCAGTAATTTGAGACACTGTGGTGAAGACGTGGGCACAGTGTGCCGCTGCACGCTCTATACAGTAGCGATGGTAGATTTGTCGATCGCCCGCTTCCTTGTCTACATTGAACTGAACACAGACAGACCACAGAGAGTCTATAATGTAGTCAGCTATTTTTTGAAATAGTTCATATTTATATTCATATAAATCACACATTCAAAGTCAACAACTACTTGATGGCATCTTTATTTATTTATTGAACTGATACTTAATAAAAAAGCAGGTACATACCTCTGCTAGGTTGTTATAGAAGTCCACGTTTCCAGCACACAGGTAGCGCCCCAGGAGTGTAGCATGTGTGGTGAAGATGGTTGCCACTGGAAGCTGTCTCTGTCTACACAACATCAGCCCCAGTCCTGCCAGCCACTCATGGAAATGGGCCACAATGTGCGCAGGCTGCTCACACTGGGCTGCAAACTGTGATTTGGAAGGAAAGAAAGGGTTCAGATTAGTTTAATATGCTGCTTTAAAGAGCCCTTTAAACTGCTGGAGGACCTACAGATAATCCATCTTTATGTTTTATGCCCGTTCTCATCAGCTGTGTAGTATTAAGTCTGAGCTGCTGACCTCTCCCAGAAGCCAAGCGGTCAGGAAACCAAACAGCACCGCATCGTTGGCCTCGCGGTCAAACCATGGCACGCCAATGGAACAAAGCTCCCACAGCTCGCTCTTCCAGGAGTCTAAAGACCAGGCGGTGAACGCGATATCAATGAGCACAACGTAGGGACTGCCTTCAATAAGCCAGCGGCCAAAGTAGACCTGTAAGAAAACAGACAAGGGCGAAAGGGAGAAAAAAAACTGGTTAGTCCTTCTCTCTCTAACATAACGTAAGTGAATGACTTCTATGTCTTTACAAAAATGTATTCCAATCTAAGAAAGCCTGGATTGAGTATTTCTTGTTGTTAGAATTGCAATTCATGCTGCTTAGAACGCAACTAAAGTGGAATAGTTTAATACACTAATGCCAAAACTAATGATCTAAAATTTGTACCAGCAATGAATAAACCTTTAAAAACACATCATCTGGTAATCAAATCACCATCTTCAATTCTTAAAATGACATTGAGGTTCTTGCGTTCCTTCAGCCTTATTTAGGCTGCACAGAACCATGAACAGGCAAATTATTTCCCCTCCTCCCACTTTCCACTGCTGGCACCCTGCCCCCACACCACTTGTGCATCTGTAAGCAACCCTGGGCCCCATTCATTCAGTGTCCACAACTACTACCACTACTACTACAGTCTTTAGCAGGTCTGAAAAATTTGTTATTTAACAAAGGTTGCATGAAAGTGCATGAAAAACAAAGACATTGCATGGGAATTGATAGGATAACTTTAAATTAGTCAGTCAAATGATAATTAACTGTGAGCAGCTCTATAAAAGCAGACGTTTTGCCAGTTTTGCTTGTCTGGAACATTCAGGTATGTGTTAACAATCCCTCAATCTTCCCATGAGTGGAAAAGCAAATTCACCTCAAGGTCAAACTGTTCAATGAGCCATATTTGTTGAAAACCAAACACAGCACGTCAGCACAAATACCTCATACTGACTCTCAAGCACGGCAGTGGAGGACTGATGATGTGGGCTTATTTGCAACCCCAGGACTGGGGCACCTTGCAGTCATGAAGTCCACTATGAACCCGTGTGTATATCAAAGTATTAAGGGGTCAAATGTGAGCCCAAATATCCGATAACTAAAGCTTGGTAGAAAATGGGTCCTGCAACAGGACAATGATTACAAGGACGGCAGGAAATTTGTGGCTGAAAAAGAAAAGAATCAATGCATTTTCTTGGCCCAGTCAGAGTCCAGACCTGAACATGATGGAAATACTCTGGTGGGACATTAACAAAGAGCTGAATGAACTGAGGCAACCGTTTAAAGAAGAGTGGATCAAAATTCCACCACAACCATGATCAGAGACTGATAATGTCAAACAAAAAACAAAACAATCCCTAAAAGTTACTGCTGCTGTTTCTACGAACTACTGAGTCACGGGGTGCACTCTTTCCCCCCCACACTGCTTCTGCAAAATAACAATGGCACAGTGAATATGTCATGCACTGTTGTTCATCAGGTTGTATATAAATTATTTCAGTATTTAGTAAGAATCAATAGATTTTTATTATGTTCTGATACCGGTACATAAAACCTTAGACGTTTTGTTTGAAAATGGGAGGGTCCTGGGATGATACCTGTAATCCACTGGGCAAAACTAAACAAAACTATCATTACAAACCAAACTTTCAGACACACCGAGTGTTGCTGGGACACCCTTATTAGCAATGTAACATAAGTAATGTTATCTTCAGATGCCTCTGCTGTTGAACCACATGTGCACACAGAAACAAAGAGCAGAGGAGAGGGAAGGAACTAGTAACATAATATGAAACATGCAAATTCAGTGTTGCTGCAGCCTGCTTTTGCTCTCTTCTTGTCCCATCAATTGTGGCTGAAAGTAACCCATACAGGCTTTACTGACCTGGCTGCACTAACCCCTTTAAAAGCGTACCGCTACCAGTCCTAACCTTTTCCCACAACTCCACATTATACTCAGAATGACACAGCACAAAGCTTTAGAAGTATCACACTCCGTCATCTATTTCTGGAGCGCATTTGTGAGAAAGAGAGAGACAGAGAGACATCGATACAACTTCTAACCTTTGCGGGGGAAATGTCACTGGGTTTTGAGTTGTGGTCAAGGACAGAAGGCTGGGCAGAGTGGGAGTGTGTCAGATGTAAAAGATGAGTGAAAGATGAACTCTAATTGGGCGTTAGAGCGCACATTCACTGCATGCATACACAAATAAACTATTAGTACCTCAGCCACGAGTTGTTAGGATGACTGCCCGTCAGTGGATCGTATAAATTTAACTCAGTGTCTGTGTGTGTGTGTGTAGGGGTGTTTGTGTTTTAGTTTACATATGGTAGTACCTTACACCCACTGGAGTTCATCTTGTCAATGGTTCGCCTGAGTGCGGGGTTTGTGGGCTCGATCAGCTCCACCTGAGTGCGCACGTTGCTCTCCACATAGGGACCCACCAGGAAATAGTTCTCCCCCCATTCCTCTGAGGTCAGACGGGCTTTGGTCTGGATGACGGTGTAGATGCCTCCAACTTCACACATAGAAAGATATAATGTGATTCAACACAAACGACATTGTCTTTTGGCATAATTTTTTTTAATTATCTTCAAAAACCACCAAACACTTGCCTTTGTTAGCAACCTCCCAGGCTATTTCAAAAAGGACGGCATCCTCTAAATCAAACTCCTCGTCCCATTCCTCCAGTCCTGACAGGGACGTGACAGACAGGCTTCGAGCCAGCGGCATGCTGGGTAAATATAGAAGACACTCCGCTGAGACGGGGACACCTTACAACCACACACACACAGACACAAAACGTAACTGTCATGTGCTGCAGTTATTTCCAAGCAGTTCACATGTACTTGGATACACATGCCAGCTTGTTTATTTCTGTCACACACTGATTTTAAGCTCCTCATCTTTGATAAAAGCATGTCAAGTTTTTTAATACGTTGTCTAAATCATAAACAAAAGCCACTCTTAATCTTTAAACATCACCAGGTTAACCTCAAGCGGCTTCAATGAGCAATTTCCTCTTAACCAACATCTCCTCACATAGCTATATGAAACCTTTACGCTTTCATTAAACAACACACCCGGTTGCATCATTCTTACGACATTACACAACTGGAATCCAAACTCAACATATCTCACTTCTTTTCACAAGTCTCATTTCCACACATTT